ATTCGGAATCAGCGTCAAAAATCGAGTCGAATGATACATATTTCAAAATTTTTCGTTGATTTTCAGTAATTAATTATTAGACGTGAAAATTTAAAAAGATTAAACTGATCGAATAGGAGACTAAAGCATATCATTCGACTCGATTTTTGACGCTGATTCCGAATATGATATTTTCATTGCGTGAGAGTTCAGTTCTGATGGAAAATTGCGAATCAGGGGCAGAATTCCGACGTTTTGATATCAATACACAATATGTTTTCAACAAACCATACACATTCTTGCAGCCTGAAAAAAAGCCTGTCTTTTGATGTAAAAATTACGGTGATCGGCTAAAAGTCATCATGGAAAATTTCTCAAACATTAGGACTAATACATTAAATTTTCATCTAATTCTGAAGTATTTCTTCTACGTTTTTTCTACTGGGTCATTTTTTAACAAAGCTTTTTATGTATTCTGATAGTACTTTTAATGCTTTATCGAATGGTATATAGTTCATTAAAAAAATATTCCACAGTCACTTTAAAATCAAAGAAACACAATTAGCATGCTGTTGGTACAAAAATCAACTTTCTAACTACCCGAAGGGATCGTTAGATGAGTTTATAGGAAAAGTAAGAGAGAGGTATAGTTACCTCAACCAAAAAAGGTCAGTAGGCAGAAAAAACTTCAGGTCATATACTTCGAAGTGTCCTCTACAAACCAGGAGAGTATGAGAACAAATCCAAAACTTGAACATATCGCTGATTTTAGGCACAGCGAAGATTTTTTCCCACATCTTACGGCTAGTTCCGCTTGAACCAAGCATTTCGGACCAAAACTCAAATACAAAAGTTGCTCAGAATCCAATTTCTGAGTCCCTTAAAGAGCATTTTTCTAAGGTAGAAAATTGAAAAACTGTGAAATTTAAAATGAAAATTTGAAAAAAACTCTTGTGAGGGACTCAGAAATTCGATTCTGTGCAACTTTTGTACTCAGGATTTTGGTATATTCCACAGTCACTTTAAAATTAAAGAAATAGAATTAGCATGCTGTTGGTACAAAAATCAACTGTCTAACCGCCCGAAGGAGTCGCCAGATGAGTTTATAGGAAAAGTAAGAGAGAGGCATACACACATGTTCTTTCATTTTATCGAAAAAAAATTGAAAACTTATATTCGATCAGTTTTCGTAAGAAACCGTTACTAGTCCTGTCCCTTCTCTGTTCATAAAAACTTAGTTCTTGCGTAGATCGATACAAAAATATGTGGAGAATATTTACTACGAAGAAATATCTAAAAGCTTGTTCTTTCCTTCCTGTTATTGATTAATTAGTGCTAATTAACGCAAATTTAGCCTACTTTACTAGCATAAAGTCATCATTTTTTCCAGTAATTAATTTTTTTGTCTTAGTCAAATAAGGTCAGTAAACCGAATCAACTTCAGACTATATACTTCGATGTGTCCCCTACAAACTGGAAAATCTTACAGAAAATCTAAACCCTCTCCTTTAATATTCTTGTTCTATCGAGTCTTCATTTTGTCATCAGATATGGAACATCAAATGGTACCAGTAATTTACCATTGCAGCAACTATCTCGTCCACAATCAAATTTAAGTCAAAATAATCATAGCGACATCAATGGCGGATACGTCAGTAGCAGTTCAAATGGTCATGGAAATACAAAACATACCGTTGTTTCGTTTGAACCAAAAAAAGGAAGTGCACGTGAGTTATAAATATGTAGTTGCATACTTATCGCTCATTGTCCTAACTCATTTCTTACATTCTCTTTTTAGATGCTCATGAAAAAACAGCTATCAATTCAGATAATGATAATGCAAATGTTGAGTAAGTATAATTTTAATCTGCACACAAACCTTATGAAAACTGAGTTGACTTTTCTAGTATGCAATTGGAAAATATACGTCGAACAATGATGACGGTTGGTGCCGGACGTGGTAAACCAGTAATACGCAATAGTGCTGGGTATATGAGTGTAAGTTCTTAAAAATATTACACTGAAAAAAAATTAAATATGTATTGTGTATCATTTGTAGGCTTCACCATATTGAAGTTCAATATATCTGTAAGTTTTTCTCTCTGTTTGCTGCATCATAATCAGATCGAATGCGTAAAAAGTACCATTTTTCTAGTCTTTCAAACACTCCTGCTGCCTGTTTGTTCGGCTCTCTATTCTACGAAGGGTTGTCGAGTACTTTTTCAGCGATCTTGCAGGATTGTTCGATTTACTAAGATTACCAAAATTGTTATGTTTACTCACTTGTCTGTTCAGAGATGAAAATGTGGCATATTTATACTCATCCAAGCAACCCGGTGATTGCGACAATTGCATTTGTTTCATTTAGAAAACTATAAATAAATTCGAAAAAAACGAACTTTATTGTACATGCGCTTCAGTTTTTCTGTGTGATCTGATTTTCAATAATGTCACTTTTTTTTTTGTACTGTTAGATTCTTTTGGTTTTTCTGCTTCTTTTTTGTATTATGGTAGGACGATAACAATTATCAATAATTATGAATTTTTCTGACGTACATATATTATTTAACCTTTCTCGCTGATTTTTGTTATCGCTTCTCTCTAGACGAAATGTCGAGTACTTCCCTTTTGTTTCACTTTTGATTTGCTCTCTTCTGTACTAAGTTGCTCGATCAACATGGGGAGCGCTGTTAATTAAACAGACGTACTCTGACTGTTGGACAATTAATTTTAACATATTCGAACTTTTGCTGCTAGCTGCTAAGCTAAACTATCACTTGGATTATATGATCAGCATTACAGATATTTTTCTGAGCATAAAGCTAAGATTTTTGCCTTTTGAACTTTTTTTTGACAACAGTTTCAATTAGGAGTGACACTTTACCTTTACTTTACGTATAACTAGTAACGAACTTAATTACTCGTTACTAGTAAAGAAGTAACTAATCTAGTTATTTCATTACCAGTAACGAATAACTCAGTTCGTTACTTTCGTTACTTTCTGGAGGAGCAACGAAGTAACTAACTTCGTTACGCCGAGTAACTAGTAAAGTGCCACGCCTAGTTTCAATCAATAAAAAAGTCATTTTTTATTGTTTTTTTTTGTTTGTGATACGTGATGTATTCTTTTGCATGTTTTTCTGTAGTCTAATACGTCCATTGCTCAGTATTGATACGATAGTTTTTTTCTTTCAACTTTTTCTTGCTATATTGTCACGATATTTTCAGTTATAATATATGTTAAAAATATTTCAAAAGTAAAAATAGTCCTTTTTGTTTGACTAAATTCATTTAAACCAGTTGTCGTCAGGGATGATATTAATTGTGCTGTTATATATTTATTTTAGTTGGATAATCTAGAATTAGTGAGTTATGTACAAAAAAGACTAAAGATTCTGTCTGATATTTGGATGTTTTAAGCGAAGAAAAGTCATAATATTTCGAGAATTTCATAAAGCTAAAACTTTTTCTCATACTTCAAAGAAATCCAAACGTTTATTTTAATCATGAGCAAAGAGGACTCATTTTTTTCAGAACCTGTCCCATTTCATTTCGTCACTTTGAAAACCAGCCCAGCTTTGTTGAAAAAACATATTTCACTTGATTACTTTTCAAAATTGTTTCATATAGCAATGTTTTTCCAGTTTAATGTTGATATTCTTAAACTTTCCTTACAAAACGTTATATTTTATTTCAAACAGTTACAGTCATACACATTAAAATAAATTAAAAAATTTCATGTTTAAAACGGAATAAATGCACGACGATAATGTCGTTTACTATTTATAAGTTTAGATTAGATTCTCGACGAGCGGTGATTACACCCACAGCCGAAAAATGTTTTGTCCCGCCAGTTTTTAGATTATCTATTTGAATAAAAGAATTCTTTTTCTTCGCGGATATCCCGTTCCGTGTACATCTTTGACTCGGACATAGTTTATAGAAGAATCTCTTGTTCAACTTCTTAATCGAATTATAATGATAAATTAAAAGAACGAATGTTTCAAATTAAGTTAATACGTAGGAAATAAATATGTTCCTCTGAAAAAATTGTATTGTGAACATATTTCTTCGGGCTTTTGTTTTTTTTCTTCTTCTTTCTCTAGATATGCCCAAGTTTTTTTCATCATCATCGGATTTGCAAAAATATTTGGGTGATTTTAACAAAGCAATATTTGAACAAAATAGTTCATTATTATGTAGTCTATTAAGTATTCGGCATAATCATATTGAACGATTATCATCGCCAGATGTCTATGATCTATTTGAACGTGTTGGACGTGTTGTACAAGGTTGGAATCCAATATTAACGAATCATATTAATGTATGTCAATTAATAGTATCATCAAACAATAATAACAATAATAACGATGTAGATTATAATTTGGATTCTGTTGCCATTTTACAGAATCAATTGCTTCTTGCACGTTCTCTATTAGACATTGTTAAAGAAGCTAAAAATAAAAATTGGCAAATACCAATATTAATTCTCGTTATTACAGAACTTAGATTATTGACAAATGCTGTTGAAAATGTTTGCACAGCACATGAAACAAAACGAAAACGTTTTGAATATAATTTATCACCACCATCACAAGAAATAGCCGATTTACAAATTGATGTAACACGAAAACAAAATATTAGTATTCATACAGAAAAATCAATTGAACTTATAACAGAAGCATTTCGTGTATGTACATCGGATCGTTGTCAAGATCAACGTTTATCAAAAAAATGGGGTAGTATTCAAATTCTTAATCAATTATTAAAATTATGTCATCGTATTAAAAAATATGATTTATGTGATCAATTATTATCATTTTCTGAATCAAATTTAGAATATAGACATCATCTATTAGATGATCAAACAATAACATATAACTATTTTTTAGGTAAATATTTTGAATTCTCTAATGTTAATCTATCTATAATATAACTCTTCTGATCTATTGAATATACATTTTGATTCTCTATTTAGGTAAATCATATTTGTTCAAAGATGATTATCGAAAATCAATTGAATGTTTAGATCCCATATTTATCCGTTGTCCAAAATATATGAAAAAAAATAAATCATCTATTTTACTTTATCTATGTTTATGTAAAATGCAATATGGTTATACACCAAAATTATCTATTATTGAAAAATATAATTTAAAACAATTTTATGATTTATTACGATGTGTTCGTTGTGGAAACTTATATCTCTTCGATTATTATATAAAACATTGTTATCATTCATATTTTCTTAAAAATGGTCTTACTATTCTTGTCGATACACTTTATTTATTGACAATTCGAAATTTATTTCGAAACGTTTGGTTAATAAAAGAGAAAGAAAATAAAATAACGGTGGATACATTTTTACAAGCATTAATATTTAGTAGTAGTAGTAGTAGTAGTACTAATGAACAATATGAAAAACAAAGAAAAACAAGTTTAGAATATCAAAATTATGATCGTTTTCAATGCTGCGCGTTGTTAGCAACATTAATAGCACAAAATCGTCTAAAAGCATATATATCATATAAACATCTTACCGTTGTTTTAAGTAAAGAAGATCCATTTCCTAAAATAATTCCGCAAAATACATTATTTAATTAAGTATTGATATACGCTTCAGATAGTTGTTTTGTTGTCTTGGTGATCTCATCCACTTAAATCTCTGTATTTGAGATATGGTTCGTGCTGTACATAGTAGATATGCTGTATAGAGAGAGAGAGAGAGAGTAAGATAGGACAATTTATATAGGATACGGTATAAGGTATGAAAATGTCTTGTTCTACACATATCTATGTATTCTATTGATCATTGTTAAATAATTCATGATATTCGTTGGTGTTATTTTCTGTTAACTTTGTTCTCTTTAAAAATAAATTGTGGTGGAATTATTATATAATAATAGGACTAGAAGTTGATCGCTCTTAAACTATCTAGACAGAGTCAGTTTTCCTTAAAATTTGAGCGAACAACGGTATAGTAACGATACAATACAGTGACAGAACTCCCTGAGGTACAATCGTGCAATAAATTAACGGATCATTTTTTTTAATTAAACATCGTGTTTTAGGTTAATTTAAGTTTAACTTTTAGGTTTATGTTTTTCTATGATATAAGTATATCAGTATCAAGCTGTAATGATGGATTTTACATCGAATGAGAAGAAGAGGGATCAGACTCTTTAGAAATCTGTTCTGGCATTTATTAGCTCAGATTAAGAACTTTTCAACATAATGTTTAGTTATTCTGATGTATAGAAAATCTTATTAAAAATTTTTTATCTTATGGTTTAGTGTAGGAATGTACCAATTCTAAGTGAGTGCTTATAGAAATCACTATTGTTCGTTATTAAGAACCTCAATTTCTACCAGAGGTGTGCACAGGGCAAGACGATCCTGCCCTGTCCTGCAGACAGCATAGGACAAGAAAAAGTTTTAGTCCTGCCCTGTAAGGCAGGACAGGACATTTTTGTTATAAATCATTCTTTAGACAGGACAGGACCGCACAAGGTAGGGAGACAGAGCAGGACAGGTCGAAAATAAGTGCCCTGTGAACACCTGATTTCTGCCAAGGTTTGATACTAGACAAACTCAGTTCCATTCTCTCTATCTATGGATAAGATTAAAATTTTTTTGAATTAGACGAAAAGTGCGTTGAAAGTGGTCGACTTTTCATAAAAATAGAGGTCTTCACCAGACCTAGGCCATTTTTAACGCACGCTTCACCTGATTCAAAATTTTGAATCTCATTCACAGATAGAGAGAATAAAACTGAGTTTGTCTAGTATCAGAACTTGGTAGAAATTGAGGTTCTTAATAGCAAACATTAGTGATTTCTATAAGCACTCACTTGGAATTGGTGCATTCCTAGCTCAGTCCCATCGATACAAAATAATAATTTTTCAAAATCCAGTATAGCTTGATACAGAAAAGTAGTTTACATACTATAGTAGTTGGATTCTCTTTTGTTTATGTGAGAAAATGAGCACATATGGTTGGATGAACAAATAATCATTTCTTGCAGTTGTACTAGTGGTGAATGATGAATTATATACCGTTCAGTACAAATTTCCATTATCTATGTTTCTGTACTTCACTCTAGTTCTCGTCTAGATTTTAGAAAATTACTGTTTGGTATCTATCAGATAGAACTAGAAAATAAAAATATTTTCCATAAAATTTCTATATCAAAGGAACGTGAAACATTGTGTAGAAAAGGTCTTAAACTGAGCTAATAGACATAAGAGCTGATTTCTCAGAAGAATGGATTCTCGTTCTATTTATAAGATTATACTATACTGGATTATGTAAACGTAAAAGAAACTTGGATAGTTTTATTGGTGAATATTGTCATTAAGATTATTTGTCTATCATTGACATAATATGATGTATGAACACGATATTTTTTAAACCAGTTCTAATCGTATCTAACATTAGCAGATGTTTTTATTCCCTACAATAAATTATATCGAGTTCATAACAAAAAATCACTGTAGAAATAAAAATATGGACATATAGTCAGTTTTTATTTGTACTTGAATGCACAACAAGTAAGTTTATTAAGTTCTTAGAACATATATCACATTCATGGTATCAATCAAGATCTCTGTTGTAGTTGAAAACCATCTTTTTGTACTCTCTGATGGAACAAGTAATTCTGTCAACCGACTTTTTTATTATGATGAGTTAGACTATACTACACTAAATAATTTCCAGTACATGATTATGTTCAAGTACTATCGACATATCCGATCAAGTTCTATTCCTTTTTTTTCTTCTGATGACATCATTATATAGGAAATAGATACTTGGTGTTAAAAAATGATTGTACTATTCTCGATCGGAAAAAAATGAAAGATTGCTCTTTGATTTGACTGATTAGGAAAATAAAGTGACTAGGAGTAATTTTTTTTTCTATTGAAAATGAAAATATGTTTTTGTTAATTTTATTATCTTCATTAGGGGTTGAGTACCTATACACAAAATGATAGTAATATACGTAATTATAATTAAATGGAACAATTTATCATAGAAACCGGTAATTTGAATGGCATCAATGGTAAAAACATATGCGTGGTTTATTGGAATATAAAAATAAAAAATCTAATATAATTGAACAATTATCAGAAAAAGAAAATTGTTATTTTTAGTTATCTCTCATTGAACTATTAGATCTAACTAGACATCAGAAGAGTGAGTTTCAAACATACCATGTCCATTGTTGTTACTGTTAGTAAAATTTTACTTTTAATTATTATACACTACACGTCTACAGATACAAATGAAGAAGATCTTGGTAAGTGATAAAGATATAATTTGAATTAGTTTTACAGTTTTGACATCTATATCTCTATAACAAAATATTATTTTTGTTGCCGTCATCAATTTTTTAAAATTATTCTTGAATTATGTTTTTTTGAAAATAACCACAGTTCCAATGAGTGTTAGATCGAATAATCGTGGTAGATTTAATTTTTTATCTTAGCTATTTATATCTCTTCGTTTTGTTGTACAATCTATTGAAAAATCCGTTTCTCATCATCTGTAGTAATGTATGTTCTAAAAATCAATGTTGTTATTGTTGAAATTCTATTTAATTAATGGATGAATTCAATGATGACCTTTTGGATTATCCTGCCTTCATAAATCCAGTTTCATAAATCAGATATTTATGAAAATTTTTACAAGTTTCATAAAATTTTTTATTTTTATTTAACTTCTGAGTTAGTAAATTCAACATCCAAGTTTCCTAAATTTTATAAAACTTGGAAACAAGTTGCATAAATATGTGATTTATGAAGACAGGGTATCCCAACTTTTTCACGTTTAAGTTGTACAGATTTCTTGCATACTCAAGTAGAACTCTTTTTCAGTAATTTTTCATAATAATTGATTAACATTACAGGATACTAGATAAGATGAGAGATCTTGATTTACAATGATCATGTCTCGAGGCGATGTTTATGTAAATGGCGTTTAAATAAAGCACTTTGTAATTGTTTTAGAGATTGAATTGTATAGTTTAGAGGTGGTAAACGATAATAGACACACAAACAGAAACAGGACCAGATCGTTATTCTTTTCGAATCGAATATGTGAATATTCAGGTTTTAAACGGATACTGTCATCAAAACTTTCACATGTTCGGTTATAACTGCAAATGAAAAGAAACGTTTGGTTGATAAAAATATATAGACACAACACATGTTACAGTATCGAATAAACAGAAATAAGACATTTAGCTGAAATATTACAGTATTGAATTGATGGTAAATAACTTATATTTTGAACGACAGCGAGACATACACTTGAAAATGTAAATTGTATTTAAATCAGCCACCATCGTATAAACAGAGTTTACCGGGTGTCGCATATCGCCTCTGGTAAAGATGCCAAGCTTCTGATAAAATTTTTAAAATATACTCAAATAATCTATGTTGTTTCTATTCTCATAAATCATATCGATTTTTACGATATTATGTCGCTCTTTTGTAAACAATGACCTATTGAAATGATCAATATTTCTGTTTAGTTTTGACGAGATCGATCTCATCCGAAATGAGACTGATAACAAGAGGCTTTTACGGCTTTTTGATGCGCATCGTCGTATTAAGTGGATAGAAAAATAGCTGCGTATTAATACTTCAACGTAATAAGACAGAGTTTAAGAAAAGATAGAAGAAATATTTTTAGTTTGACTTTTCTGACTTTTCTTTTCTATCTATTGCAGAGGTGCAGAATCTACCTGAGAGTTTGAAAATTTTTCACGAACGATAAAAGTTTTGGAAAATTTCCACATTTAAAATTTAGAAAAGGCTTTTATCGATTTATTTGTTATTATTCGAAAATTTCTTCAATCTTTCTATGTGGAAAAATTCTACATGTTTTCTGTTGCAAAATTTTCACAGCTTTCAAAATTTTTCCACATACGCCCGTACGCGCACACGAGTGGATTCCTGCACCTCTGATCTCTTGTTCATTAGTCGATAATTCTTTTCTCTATTGTATGGTATCCATTACAACGTATGAATATTGTATAATATGAAGTTTAATTATGTCGAAACGATTTTTTTGTCACTTGATCAGTCAACTCGATTACCTCTGCGTGCATATGTGTCGGGTAGCATAAATTACTCTTTTTTTTTTTTCCTTTTCGCTGTCATCATCACCATTCGAGCGTTTTTAATAATGTTCATGTTGCATCTCGTTCTTTTCGGGTGCGAATGAGCGATGTCTATCATCTGATTACACGATAATATACTTCCAAATCAATGATCAAACACTCTAACGAAGCAAACTGTTAAACGATGATCATGTTGTTTTTTTCTTCTTAGTAGGTGGTCTTGAATTTTTTTTTTTTTTTAAATAAGTGAAAAACATATTCACACCACATCATGTCATGTTTATTCATGCAATAAATGTGTTCAAACTATACTTCTACTATGCTATTTGTTCTACAACTATGTATCAGTTATTGAACTTGACTCATCATCATTCAATTAAGACACACCTTTTATTCATCTACCGATTGAATCTTTATATTGTTTTAAAAAAAGTAAAACAATGTGATGTGATTTCAATTAAAAATTATAGAAAATGTACATTTTTTGTTTGATTTATTTGCCGATCAGTTAAAATCATAAATTGGTCGGTTTTTCACATGCCTCTACGATCATCATAGGAGAGACATTTTATTGTTTCCCATATCTTTAGCGTATAGTCAAAACCAATTATATCTTCCCTACAAATGTCAGAGGTATGAATCCGTATTGAACTTTCGAAGCAAGATAAACTTACGAACTTAAATCAACTGAAAAGTCTAAACTTTGATATCACTCACTTGCTCAGCGATTGAAGACAATCAGTTCTCGTACATTCCTGACAAATTGCTTTTGCTTCAATGTGCCGTTTTTGAGAAATCAGAAATCCGAGTGCCTGTTTGACCCAGTATCGAGTGTTTTCTGGCTTAATAGAGTTCACACAAGAAGTAGAAGATGTGTGTGATCGTTAAAACTAGTATATAATCCTTAAATAAGCGACTTGAACACGATTATGTACGCTCTCATTTTTCTCTTCTGTTATTTCCATAAGGTTCACTTGTTTTTCTATCATCATCATCAAGGATTAATGATCACATCAATCCCAATTGCAAGCGAAATAAATTGAGACATATTTTTAAAAACTTCAAAAATGAAAAAGATGAAACAACAAAACGAAGTACGAGTCATAGGTTTAGTGATTAGACAGACTAGAGATAAAATTTATTTGACCAATGATATTTCATCTAATCTGATCTTCATTCTTTTGACTATACATACGCTCAAGGATTGAGTGTGAAATCAGACGTAAATTTTTCTGTTTCTAGAACGGTAGATAATTAATTCATCTACACACACGTTTGTTCAAAATGAACTTGTGTGGTGATGTGATTGTGTATTGTTCATATAATATACAATAGAGAAGCGAGAAAGAGCGGAAAATCTCCATATTCTAATAAAGTGCTATAATTGATTTTACTAGAGTGAATTGTGTATGCTGACAAAATTCAATTTTTCTTTTTATAAACATGTCTACAAGGTGTTCACGAACATGAACATCAACAATAAGAGACGAGCGAGAGAGAAAGAGAGAATGACAAAAACTGTATTCATTCTTTTTATTGTATTGCATAAATAAATAATACACCAGGGAGAGGACTAATGTTTACCTACGAAAGAGAGAAAGATCTTGGGAAAATCATTGTTTATGAGACATATTTGAGTTAAAGAGTTACAGACCACATTTTTTGACATAAAGATTCATTTTCATTGCAGAAAAGTACGCAAAAAAGTTTGAAAGGACAGACTATAAATGATGTAGTGAAACTGTTTGAAACTGTGAATATTTATGATAGTTCTTATGATGATTAAAACCAATATTAAAGTTGAGAAGATAAAAATTTAGACCTTTGATATATTTCTTGAACTAGAAAAGATCTACTCAAAATAAAATAAATTTAATAATCCTTTATTACGGCTTCTACTTCTTACTACAAACAACTAAATAGTAATCAGCAACTAAATATTGATAATGAGTATATAGATTTACTAAGCAGTTCACTCACTCATAAAAGCATCGTCATTTTATTCTACAAACAAATATTCCATTGTATTTAGCGGTGTAATGTTTTGGAATAATCAAGTGCTTTATGCCGATTAGAAAGATCAAAAAAAAAATTCTTATCAGGACAGTGGTATTAGAAAAAAAAGTGAAAAATGTTCAATGAAAAAATCGACAGGGATGAGAGAGAGAGAGAGAGAGTCAAAAACAGAAGAAGAAAGAAGACGCATTTTCTTGGTTTTTTTTTCTGTTCTCTTTCTTATTCTCTCTCTGTATTGAACTTCCGCTCTCTCTCTCGCATGTATTGATTGATACCACTTTCTATACATGATGAATAAGCACATTCATTTGACACCTTTCTCTATGTCGGAAAATCGCGACTAGTTCGTTAAAAAAAAAATCGATGAAATATTATTATTCATTTAGCTAGATCATTTTTCTCTTCTCTTTTTTTTTCTCCTCTCTTTTCATCTCTCTAAAGAGTGGAATAGTTTAGTTTGTCGATCTATACAGAAAGGAAAAAAAAAACATAAAAAGAAGAAATATAGTCTCTCTTAGTTTTTATTTTAATAACAAACAACGATTTGAAAGATCCGGTGTCTGTTGTTTTAACTAGTACTTTTTGAAAAGTGAGACACTCTTGGATAAAATGACAATTGGATGATGATCGTTTATATAATGACATTTATGATGTTTTGGTGTTGGTCATTAAAGTTTTATGTTAACAACCGATTATTATCATTAATTAAAACAATATTATCGAATATTTTTATTAGGACTAGAACAAATTATCGCTCATTTAATAGACTAAACATATTTTATTCAATTGGAAAAGTTTTATTGACAATTTTAATTCTAGTCGGAACAAATGTGGCATTCGATACAAATGCTGAAAATTATACGGTACCAGTTAGTGGTAAAGTGGTATTAACATGTTATGTTCAAGAAGTTCGATCATTCAAGGTCAGTTATTTATACTCGTTTTTTAATTATTGTAGTACAGAAAGCATTTAACACTAACTTGAACAATAAAATAATTTTTATTTTGACTTAACTTCATTTTATGTTGACATAAAGATTTTAGAGAATGAAAATCCTCATTTTCAAAATAGTATACTAACGTTGATGAAGAGGCGTCTAGATGTAAGATCATGTTACATCTATATGAATATTCTCTGAATAAGACAATTCAACTTCTCTTCATCGTAATCGTCTTACAAATGATTGATATACACATTTCTATACGCTCATTATCATATGTCGTTCAATGCTTGAACTAGAATGTATGTACATTTTAAGTTATTATTTCGAAACAAGACAAAAAAAAGAAAAAAATGCTGAGAATTTTAAATTGTTTCTTATTTTTGAAACATCAAATCATCACCTCCCCTATTCATATTTTAAACAATTCTCACTACTAGTATAAAGTATATATATATATATGTGTGTGTATGTGTGTGTGTGTGTGTGTGATCCTTAACTTTTTTTCTGTTGAAGCATAACATAATTTTCACGATTTAATCGAAATGATTGACATTTTTGTACAAAAGATTAAGATTAATACGATGAAGATGAAGTTTCGCTTCATTTATTGCCTAAGAGGAAAACATGACGTTAAGAATTTGGTCAAAAAATCAGTTCATGACATGACATGTTATCTATTAAATATTATTCGTTTGCAAAAATTAAAAAAAAAAAATTAACTAAGCACCTATTATCAGACAATGCATCTAGAACTTAAAAGTAAGATCTATTTTATAATGGATATAATAGAGAAATCGAATATATCTATTATTTTATGATCTAATATTATTGTTTGTTGTCGATATGTATAGACAATGTCAGCCATCATCATAAGATCGTATCTCTATCACACAATGTCTATTGTCTAAATTTAAGGACACCTTAATCGTTTGTCTATTTGTACAAGATTTGTTTTTTTATAAATCAGCTAATATTGTATATATACACATCACAGTATGAAACTATGTACGATGAGTTAATTAGATTTATAATCATATCACAAATATTATCCTCATCATAATGTTAAAAGTGTGTTTGCTAACATCACCCTATCAACTAATTATATGTCAATTATATACGAAATTAGCTATTAAATTCATTTTTTCTTTTCATTGACTGAGCATCACTGATGAATTAAATAGCGAGTGAAAAATCTGATAATGTATATTGATTCGAAAGAATTATGAAATCATTAGATGCAATAAATCGTCAGCAATATATATATATATATATATATATATACGAGATTGCTTTTTTTGATTTTGTCTTTGATGCGATAATATTAATTGAACGATCAAATTGCAGATTTTTATGATTAAAGTTATTCAAAAGATTCATCTTTTAAAATAGAGTGTGAGATGGGGAAAAAATCATCCATAGTGCAGAATATAGCGCTTATCGATCAAAAACGTTAAACAAACATCTATGATATCTGTTTTACGGTTCAATCATCTGGCATCGTTTGTTTTGGTGTACTAATTTGTAAATTAATGAAGACTATCTTATTACTGCTTCATTGACTAACGAATGAGTTGATTTTTTTTTTTTGGATCTATTATTAAAGAAAAACTTGAGTACGTGATACTCGTGATTGAAATACTTGTTAAACACAACTAACAGGAACAATAAATTATTAGTCTTATTGTTAAGTCATATCATAAGTGTTAATCTTATTTAAAATTCTTTTTCTCAGTTGTTTAATTTATATTTTTCAAAGTTAATGAATATTAACTAGTCTATCTAGAATGAATGAATGCATTCTTTCATTAAGAGTTTATATATTATTTTTCGATTTGTTTCCACTCTCAATTGATTACGATCTGTCCTTGTAATTTGATTCAAACATATATAATGTATATCTGTATATTGTACATATATGTAGAAAAAATTGTTATTAGAAGCAGATTAAATGTCTAAATACAACTTGTCTTTGATTTCAAGTAGTAGTTGTTCCCATGTTTTCCATTATAAAAAGAAAAATCGCTGTTATGAAAACAAATATTTAAGTATCAATATCACAGCAATCTAGAAACGTATGATGGAAAATGTTAGGGGGAAACACTTCAATCATTGATATGATTTGATGGTGAATTGAGGAGAATGAATGAAACTATCATAGAATACGTAATATTTCTTTTCGATAGGAATGAGTCGACATCAGAGTTCATGGTGTCTGTGAAGGTTGATTTAGACGTATAAATCGTTCTAGATAACTACACATGAATAGATCTGATTGTTGTGAGGGTTAAAAGTTGATTATTGTGCACTGTGAAAGAAGGTTAAAATAATAACTATATTTGTGCACACCATTTCTAAGTCTGATCCTTGAATATCCGTTTACCTGAATAATCAACTTTTAACCATCATTTGTTTATTAAAAAACAATTTCTTTTTGTCAAGTTCATATATACTCCAACAAATTGATCATCTACATATGATCGAGTTGAACGCTGTTCTTTTGAACCTCATCTTTCAGTTGTAGTATAAACAAACTCAGTGTGTATATGGCAAATAGAAAAAATAATTTTTCTCTCTCTTTTTCTCTCCCGATCCGTGTAATTATTTATATCCAACATGTGTATACTTAAGCTAATTTCAATTTGGATATGGTGGCAATAAAACTACTCTTATATTCGATTAAGTTTAGTGTTCAGTCTACTATTTCTATTCAATAATGATGATTATGAGAAAAATCTCCCACTATAAAATCGATGATTGTGTCGTTGTACTAGTTTTTCTCTACTCCGCCTTGTTAAAAAAAGAGAAAACAAAAGAAAATTCATGTAAGCTTGAAATGTTACGTTGGTGAATACTAATCTATTTCTCTATATGTATATAATAATAAACTAATATGATAATATGTCTTTGTTCCGCTCATCATACTTCAATTGAGAAAGAAAATGTAATACATATGTAGAACAAGGACAGAATAGACTCTAATGAACTATTTTTTGTTGGCTATTAAAATAAAAAACGACACTATTCAATTTATTGAAGAAAAAAAAAATGTATTTTTAGCGCCTGCATTTTTTCTAACACTAAAATATGTCTGACAATAAAATGTAGTAACTACTATATTGATAATCGATCACTTATAGCCCACATACAATGTATATAGAAGTAGCGGGGAAAAAGTTTATTTTATGCTTAACCAAGGATAACATGTTCTTTCTATAAAAGTTCAACTTTTTAAACTACACATTATTTCCTACTTTTTTTTGTTTTATCTTTTAAGGTATTATGGCAAAAGATTGACCGTGTTCGAAATACCACACAGTTAACGTTAATCGCTTTTGATGGTGTTGTTTATTCAAATAAAGATCATTATCGTTTGGAATCTGATTACGTTGGATCACATAATTTAGTTATTGATAGAGTTAGCGAAGAAGATGCCGGTAAGAAGACCAAAAAGAAAAGAAAATGTGCAGTCTTGTCATCATCACTTTCAATTGTCTGTTTCATGATTGTATAGGAGAATATCAATGTCAAATAAACACAGAACCAAGAAAAACAAAACGAATTTTCTTAAATGTACAAGGTATATATATATATATATAGTGTTTGGTTAATAACTCAAAACATTCCATATGTTTCCTTTCGGCTTGTTTGTATAGAATAAATAAAAATATAATCATTATATAGTAGATTCAACACATAATAATGAACTGTAGTCAGATAGTACAGCTAACAAAAATGTATAAGATGATGACAGATACCTAGACAGAAAAAAAAGTATATAAAATTTTGCGATGAACAACAATCGTCTAGACCGTGAGAATGGAATTTGTCTATAAAATCATTCTTCACTTAAACAATATTTCGAATATAACATTTTTGGTTCTTTTTTTCTTATTTAGTACCACCACGTATTGTCGATTTTCGACCAAATCCACCAGTATTATCAGCTCAAGCTGGTTCATCACTACATTTAATGTGTCGAGCTGAAGGGACACCAATACCAAATATTAGATGGCGAATACGAGATAACAATAATTTGAATAATAATGAAAAACGTAAGTCAGAAATTGAAACTGAAGTGATTTTTTTTTTCTCATTGAATAACTTATTGCTAACGAACATGATACAACACTGAACATTGATATGTTAATGAAGAATAAACTTTTCATAAATAAGGAAAACATTAACACTCTTAGAACTCGTGCATATATATATATATATATAAATGTCAACTATGTAAATATATACTTCATCAATATTGTTTTCAAATATATGTGTCTTTATGGTGGTTTAAGATTAAAAAATTTCTTACAAACATACAACTTGAGTTGTACATATAAAAAGAAAGAATAGAAGAAAAAAAACAAAGTGAATACAAGTATACTTCGTGACTTTTTGTTCAAAGAAAGGCAAACGCGCACATCTGGCGTGCCAGAGTAATGCAATTCATTGGGACAGATCGTTTTCTTCATTTTGAATCAATGTTTTTACACACATTATCGGTCTTTTCCTTCTGAGGATCACATCACATGTGTTTTTTACTATGAATACGTTCTAATATACCGGAACACATGCACACATACACTTTACATTCAAAATTTATTTGATTTATAAATATTTGCTGCCAATGACGTAATAAATTATCATATTCAGGATGAAATATAATCGTTTTTAATATATATCGGTGACAGACAATAAGAGAAAAGGAGGACGTGTTGTAACAACAAGAAAAAACAGAGTCTGGATGAACTTTAATTTACATGCTTGGTAGAATTACATATTCATCTCGCACATCCGGTGGCAACTAGTATCAGAAATTTAATTATTTTTAAGGAAATAAGAGTGTCATACGTGTCAGCACGTATATATACCTGGATAAATCTTTTCAACGCAGTAGGACATTTTCAAATAGAGTTTGGGAGTAGTGGCAGTAATTTGACATGTGTTACTTGACGTTTGTTATTTGTATGAAACAAAGAAAAACTGTTCTTTTAAAAAATAAAATCATTAAATTTTCAACATAATTTGAACATTGTACATAGTTGAAAGTCGTTGACCTTCTTCGGTTTTTTTTTCTTCTATTTGTTTACTGTACATACTTGAGAATATAAAATAGCGTGGTATAAGGATTCATGCATGTGAGAGTAGACAACAATGTTTTTATCAGCATTATCTCTCAATGAGATAGTTTCACTATATTTACATTCAAAACTTAACTACACTTGATGTGTTTAAATAATAAATAACAAATAATACTGTGGATGTTCAATGACTGTAAACTTATTATTCGTACTCGGAAATTCTCTATAAATCAATATAATATGATAATTAGAGTTATCTGTTAAAATTCCTTCACATATACGGGGACTAAGGAGGCCGAAAATAATATTTCGCTTCAAACGAAATATTTTACGGTTACTAACTGATAATTTGGTGCATATAATATCTTCATTGTAGTCTACTTTAAAGACTAGACAAAGTCTGACAAGGCCTCGACATTGAAGGTTATTTGAATACAGACGTCCATTCCCTAGTAAAATCCCCATGAGTTTCTTGACAGGCTTCGAGATATGTCCTGCCAATATCCTATTAGGATTTCGTTTTAATTTCTTAGGATCCTAACAAAATCTTAATGAAATCAGGTATATCCGAAAGTCATAGGATTTTCTAAGATTTTGTTAGGATCCTAAACAAATTTAAGCGAAATCCTAGTAGGATCCTAGCATTTTAGGATCTTGCTAGGAAGTTTTAGACGGATCCTAAATGTTAGGATTCTGTAGGATCCTAGTAGGAAACAGGAAGTGCGTAGGATTTTGTCTGGGATTCAGGTGTTTTTTTTCTTAATTAGAAGTGCTCAGGTATTTTTGTTTAATATGTATTGTATATACGTGTAAGAGAACCAATTAGGAAACTCTGGATGAAATGCGTGAAGTTTGGTAATGCAGACATCGCAACCGTCTATTCATATATCTTGTTTATACAAATTCTTGATAATATAAATAACTTTTAGTTTGATAAGAATAATTCGACTAAAAGATTATTTCTTTGAAATAATATATTATACCGTATATTAAATGAACGCTGAATAACTATGGAAAAAATATAAAAACAGATTTTTAGAACAATTTCATTATTAGTAGACCCTTTTACTTTGGATTAAATTTTTTTGTATGTTTACTTTAGCACCCGATAACAGTTCAATATGGTTTATTCAAAGTATAACGGAAGATTTTCCAAGAACAGTTGAGTGCATAGCTGACAATGGCGTTCTACCAGCTTCAAATAGAATATTCACCATTAATGTCGAATGCAAGTATTTTTATCATCTTCTGTGCTGTAAAAAGTACTAGAAAAGATCGAGAGATAAATTATAGCCTCCACGTCAGTAACCTACTTTTGTTCAGAAAAATGTCATCTGAATAAAATGTCCACAGAATGTTGAGTTTTCTAGAGTGAATGTGAAAACTAAGGATCAAAAAGTAGGCGTTCGTGCAGCAAAGAATTTTCCTCTAATTCAAGTGATACAGACATGCTCCATATGGCTAGAATCATCAGAAGAAGGGCGAAACTACGGCTTCTGTTCCCCTGAAAATGTTAATTATGGAATAATTGCAGGTAATTGTAATTTTAATGAAGCGACCTATAATTAATTACTTTTCACATAAATTGCTCCAGAGGTTAACCAAAATTTTGTGATAACCCTTTTTTGTATGGACAATTTGAGTCTTATACTTCAAAGCTTTAATTTCGTCCTTTTCCCGAAGTGATTCCGATCAGATGTTAAAATATAACACAGATTTGACGTTTCAACTTAACCAAGTCACATTTTTAACATTTTACTTTTTATTTTTCTGTTTGTCTTTGTTATTTATTCTAAATCTGTATCACTTGAATTGAAGAAGGAATCTTTGCAGCACGAACAACTAATACTCAAGCAAACGATTCCCAGAAAAAATTAGGGCTTGTAACAAAATGCTTGGAACTTTCGAATAGAATGTCGTACCGTGTTATACTACAGTAAAACCTCTATTAGTGAACACCTCCTGAGTAAACACGCTCTCAAGTCTGACGGAGCGATTTCTGCTGGAAATGCACCTCTCTAATGTGAACACCTCTGTATTCTGAACATGAACACTATTTTTTCAGTCCCTCCTACTATTAGAACCTCTCTAATGTGAACATACGTGCGATGTTTCTCTCTCTACTGTTTATCATCTGTCCCTTTTGTACTGATACTAATTACGCTTTACGTACTAAAACTGACTACTGTACGTATGAAAAAAGAATGCTATCACGATACGAGCTAAAAAGATGAACAATATAATTAATTCAGGACTAGTGTAGAAGCAGACATTCTAGAACTTTTTTTTTCATTTCCCAGTAAAACATGCATAATCTCTCTAAAGTGAACATCTTCCTATAGTGAACGTTTTTGAAAAGTCCCGATGGTGTTCACAATAGAGAGGTTTTACTGTATGTCACATTTGCACTAGAAAGACTTGCTCTATACGCATAATTTGATCGCATGAGTATCATGAAACAAACGAGTATTCCAATCTTTTTTTTCAAGATTCCGAAAAAAACACGAAAAATTAGCTTTAGGACGAAAATGATAAAAATTCTGAGAGTATTCAATCGTGTATTAATCTCAAACTTGACGTTTGTTTGACGAAAAATCGACTTCTTTTTTGACAAGAGGACTCTTAAATGTGTATTTTTTGTTTTGTTTAGATCCTCCAACAGTAACTACATTTGCAGATTATATTCAAACACAGCGTTATAAAAACGCCACATTAATCTGTACAACGATGTCTCGTCCAACAGCTCGAATCTATTGGGAGAAAAATAATCGACCAATAGTAAATGATGAAAAATATTCGATAACAACGTCATTTAATCAAACAACAGTTATTAGTGTACTCAACTTTCAGGTAGTTTCGAGTAACCTATTTTTTTAATATACCATTTATCACATCAATTTCCTTATCTCAAATTTCTAGGCTAGAAATGAAGATGATTATGGAAAATATTTTTGTATCGGTGAAAATTCACTTGGACGATCGGATGCATTCATATTTGTATTAGGTATGTTAAAATTCAAACATTTTATATAATTTATTCTTTTAATTAATTTTACTTTTTTCTAGAGGAATTAACCGCCCCAACTACATCATCCACAACATTATTATTATCATCCACAACAGAAATAAAAATTCCTGATTATAAACATCAAAAATATGATGGAAACAGTCGACCAACAAAACATCGATTACAAAGTAAATTTTTATCTTTGCATATAAAATAGATCTCTTAAGTTATAGATGTCGTTAAATACCATACTACTGGTGTTTTTATCGATTTTTATATTCTTTTTTTCATCATAGTCAAGTTATTAATATAAAAAATATTTTATTCATTTTAGAAACTCGTCTATTATTGATTACAACGACGATAAATGAACGTGATATTCATATTAGTTCAAATAGTCGTCAATTTTATCAACAATGTCACAAATATCTTTTTCTATTAGTTTTCATTATTATAAAAATAATCATAAGGTGATACGATTATCATTTTCTATATCGTTAAGATAGTAGTTTCTAGTCAGTATGTCTTCCATTACAGTGATATATATAAACTGGACATAAATTATCATATGGACGTGTTTTGTTGTTGTTGTTATTATATACTTACTAACAGTATTTAAAAATTTAACGAATAATTTTGTCTCATATATCATGTACAATATTTCTCGTTTTGTTTTTTCTCTATTTAAATCTAGATTCTTGATGTTCGAGCCTTGCTTCTTTTTTATTTATCTTTTTTATGAGAAATAAATAACAAAATAATTTTTGTAACAAGCAAAATAATTTATTAGTTTTCAACATTGAGTTAAACATATTATTAACTGTTTTGAAATAAGCTAACAATAAAATAAATAAATAAATATAATATTTACATATCTGAATTTGTTTTTCATGTGTAAGAGAAGCGTCCCTTTAAAATTTTAATCTAAAACGTTTCTTGTTTTAGCTGATTATTCTACGAAGAAGTGCAAAATATTTGAGTAAGAAAGCCTAAAAAAGATGAGTCTATATTTCTTTCAAAAACCAAATCTATCCTTATTCTGTACACAGCACGACTCAATATCAGCTATTTATGATTTGTTTTCTTATCCGTTATATAACATTATTTTTATGGTCAAATAGCTGAAAGTTCTGTAGGGTTATTTCCGATCTTAACGTGTCTGACACTTTTCTATTTATCCCTTAACTAGCTGCTACTTTTGCTATTTGAATAGCTCGTCTTTTGTGCCTGCAGTGTACAACACAAACAACAATTAGCAATAAAGTAATCATTAAGCCAACCAACGCATAGGAATAAATAATACTAACGAACGCAATTAAATAGACGTTTTTTTTGCACCAATTATTTGGATCTTCTATTGTTTGTTCATAAGAAGGAAATCGAACTTTAAATATACAATAATTACCAAATACAAACCAAACAAAAAGAATTAACGATATAGATATTTGCATAAATGCTGATCCATTTGCTCCCTCCGGCGTTTCTTCTTCATCCATTACACTTTCACGATGTCGCCTATGATGATATTGACTCCACATTACTTGTAATATTTTTAATAATGCCAACGCACCACCAACGAGAACAAATACCGGAATTTTAGGATCTAAGGGACATTCTTCCAGATTGGATACACCTAAAAGACAAAAGAGCAGTTAAAGAATGAGTCATACATATGAGAGACTGATTTTGTTAAATATCAATCTTTCTATAGTGAACAATACAAAACTCTTTAGCCGTTCTAGTAAGAATAACATTTACCAACGCCTATCATTAAAAGTGGAAGAATCAATGTCACAGCAAATATAAATGATGCCACTTCTGAAATTAAAAACAGAAGAAATAATTAAGTTTTACATTTCCTCCTCAACTTACTTGTCTGTAGCAATATGTCAGCTGTTTTTCTAATGAACTCTAAAAGGGAAAAAAAAGTATATATATATTAGAAGATAAAATTTAACTATACGACGAAAATACATACCAAAAATATGTTCTGCATCCGTGTATTCTTCTGAGATTCTTGAGAATACGGATATATTACCATGTATTTCTTTAATTTCTGTCACAGACCATCTTGAGGTATATGCATTTGTTTCGTCAGCGAACTAAACACAGAAAAAGAGCAATTACTGAAGCAAGAAACAAAAATTTTGAGAAAAATCTTGATTAATTCCACGGATTCACGATATTGATGGGGTCAAAATTCGAAGAAATTTTTGACATATGAATATTGAGTGCGGAGAACAGACAGTACTTTCTTCTGATGTATTATAATCTTTCTTCATGTTTATTGAAATCTGACAAAATTTGACCCAAAAGTATCATAACCGAAATAGCGCGTAAGTCTCAGAAGTTAGTACCTAATATAAGAAATGGTCCACTGCTCAAGCTAAACACTAAATAGTCGATCACTTAAAAGAAACTTTTAGTTCTTATCACCTTTCTTACAACTTACAATCTTTGACATTTGATAACTATAGATGTGGGAAAAGTTTTGATAACATTTTTGTTGTTCTCATCGTTCAAAAATTCATATCTTAAAAGTTCCTACCTTCGCTTTACTATTATAGATGTTGATTCTTAACAGATTGTACTTTATTGGTGTTCTATCAAGACATCGTAGTATTGAAAAAATTTCATTTTTTTCTGCAATACCGCAGACGATCGAAGCTTCTCAAAAGGATTTACACGATTTACTTTTCGCAGATTTACTTTCCATTGACTAATTTCTGTTTTGCTTTTTTTCTCGAAAAACTATAATTTTTAATGCAGAGGATTTACTTTTCATTGATTACATAAAAATATATTCCAAATTAGCGACTTTTTTTGTATAGGAATAATCTTTCCACTGATTATTTGGACGAAAAGAAATGAGCAAATGAATACTCATTACGACAACCAATGTATTAAAATTCCCAATTTAATATGTACAAATAAAAGTAAAAACGGAAAAAATGATTCTTCAGGTTTCTGATGGACGTATCTCATGCCGGCAGCTTTCAAGAACGCTGAAATATCAATACGACTCTCATCTTAACGTTGCCACAGTTTCATTAAGTTAGTGTCTGATCGGAATTAATTTTTGCGACGTTTTGGAGTTGGTGCTGTCTTGCACTCTTGCAATCGATACTAATGATTGTTTCTTCTGCAGTAACTCAATAACAATGCAAATGTTTGAATGTGGAGAATTTACATGTTTTTTTATTCGAGAATGCGATCTTCCAGATATTTAATTGTTTGCAGTATTATATTACGATAATGGTTATACATATGTGGTGGAAATCGACTGAATATGATAATAATTAAGAAATCCTTTATTACCCAGATAATCCAGTGGAATACGAATTAGACACTGTAAGCCCCATAACATATGCTTTGATGATAATAACGATAATGCTGCGAAATCACGAAGGTTTTCATTATCTTTGTATGCTGTTTTTAAACTAAGATCAACAAATTTACGAAATATACTTTGTCCATAATGAAGTTAACAACCTCTACCAATAATACTTAAGTAATATTTAGTAAATACATTTGAAACAACGTAACTCAAAATCAATTGTAATCGTTCTTAACCTGATAACTAACCGGAATTCGAACATTTTTCCGAATATTACTAATGTGAGAACAGAGTTGTGTATCTCTATCTTTATATACATTCTTACAAATATTATCATGCTGACAACTATTCTACTTCTCAAATTACTGAGCACTGCTCTTTCCCACTTAAAAATTAATTAATCCGTTATCGATAAGTGTTTGTTCCATTTGAAAAATTTATTGGTTGTCGGTTGTCGCAATGAGCATTCATCTGCTTTGTTCACATAATCAGTCAGTGGAAAGGTTATTCCTATACAATAAAATGGCTAATTTGGAATACATTTTTATATAATCAATGAAAAGTAAATCTTCTGCAGTAAGAATTATATTTTTTCGTGAAAAAAAACAATTAAAAATAGAAAATAATCTACGGAAAGTAAATCGTATACTCGTCTCAAAAGCGATACAAATTCATTCTAATTGGCTTTGTAAAATCAAACAACATCAGAGAGGACATAAAAAACTGACGAGGAATGATCCCCAACTGATAAATCGCTTTTTCAACGAAACCGACTGGACTATAGGTAGTCGACGATGCTGATTCCGAATACCACCATGAATGCTGCCGCTAGGCCTTCAAAGACCGGTATTCT